TAGACTCGCTCTGTTGAGCAGCCAAAGCAACCTTGACCTTTGCGTCCACTAAGGACTGCATGTGCAAATCAAAGGTAGCATGCTCAAGCTGAGCAACGTCAGAAGATGACGCGTGGCTGAACCTTGTCGACATAGATGGAACGTCGGGTACTATCGGACAGACACAGGCGAAGCTAACTCGGACCCGACCCAATCAACTTGAAGGATGCCATGTGGGCAGTAAGAAGGGTTATCTAACCCTAAAGGAGAGTGATAAGCTCATCCTTGAATTGGTCCTCTTGATCGATCACGGGGACATTTTGAACCTCTGCGGGTTCATGATGTTCGACCTTGTTGAGATCAAAAGGGTGGCTGCCAACTGTAAATCTTTGACCACGAGTGGTCACCATCATAACAGTGTGAATTGTCATTTTGAAATCATGTAGCTCCTCTCCAAGGAGGTCATCATTCTCAAGGAGATCCTCTAGTTTGTCAGGGAGATATTCGGATAAGTCGTCCTCGGGATCGAATTCGGGGTCAGCCTCAGGGTTAGCCCGAGATGACTCCACAATGCAATCGACTGATGGAACAATTAATTTCTGGATTGAAACTACAACTTCTGGATTCAGAGATCATCAAAAGAGATTCTTTCGGACCCTCCGCCTCTTGGCCGGGGGGCGTGCCCGGGACCTCCCTTGATCATCAAAAGAGATCTGTATTTTATCTCTAGTCAAAGAAGAAGCTTAATAATTTAATACATTTTTCTTTTTATTTCGCTTGAAAGAGAGGTTACAACATATGGTGCAGACAGAGTCGCTACAATAGAACTGGTCATAGGAACAGAACGAAGCTCTGGTACATCGTCCCCAAGCGCTACATGCGTAAGTTCTTGAGGTTCTTGGATGGGCTCGACGACCTATACGACAGATGACAAATATCCCAGCCTCACAGCTGACCGATGGCAGACCCCGGTCTCCGACTATGTGAGCCTGGAGGGTGAGGGAAGTAAAGGTGCTGCTCCATGCCTTGCTCGGACGTATTGGAGATTCGGGCGAGAAGCTCTTACCTAGAAACGGGACCCTTTCCTCTTAGAAAGGAAACAACCCTCACGATCTTCGGCGGAACGATCTGGACAACGGGCTTGAAGTCGCCTACCCAAAACAACTCAGTGATTTCCCTTCTTTTCTCGATCTCCTTCCTCTTCTCGCTTGCACGGCTCGACAACCCTACTTCACGGACGATACCGCGAGATCTACACTTCTCTTCTTCTCCTTCGGTTGCAGTTCATCCCAACAGATCACGTGAGGCTTGTTCCTCCTCTTTACTTTGGACTCGATTCACTCCAGAGCTGCTCGCTCTTTCCTTCTCTCTCTTTGTCGACCTCATCTTCCACCACAGGCGAGCACGGTAGCAGTGCACAAAGTCGATCCTCCTTCCTCTTCGTCGTCGTTCTAGTAAGGGCCCGTGTGGGGCAACGTATAACTGCGGGCGGACGTAGTTTTTGTTTTGGTGCTTTTGGAGCGCTTAATGAAAAAGAGCGTTTTCATTTCTTCAATAAATGCGGCGGCCACAGGATCTACCCTGCGCCCCGTGTCTTCTACCTGCGTCGAGTGGCTTTTTTCCTTCGTCCCCCTTCTGTCCGTCTCCTCCTGTCACCCTCAGCCTTGTTTAGAAACCGAACTCTGCATTCTTCTCTACTGCTCCTTCCCTGTTCGTCGACCCCAGCACCGAAGCTTACGATCCTCCCCCTCCACTACTGCATCCCCCTTCTTCTCCCGTAAAGCATTGCTCGTCTCTCCCTGCATCGCATAAATCGCAATGTCAGTACTGAGCGGACCTCGCGTAATTGGAATTTATATGCCTTCCTATTTTCATACTTTATTATTATAGCAGTCAAGTCTGATAAGTTTGCTTATGTTTAATTCCTTCTTATCTCAACCTTAATAGTGATCATGAACTATAAATACACACACACACTTGTAGTAATGAGAGGGATCACAGATCTTGGTATTATTCGGATTTGATTTTTGCATGCTAACATAAAATATTTTGTCTTCTTCCCGAATTCTTTTATGCTTTTTTGTTTTTTTTTGGGGGCTGCCTTTTCTGGTTTATCTTGGGTTGCATCAATTTGTTATCATAATGGTCATTTGCATCCTTTACACTCATATAGCTTAAGAAAATGTAAATTTTCTCCGAGTAGTTTTTCAGGAGTTGTTTATGCGCGAGATAATTTGGTACCGTTGATAAGTATTTTGATCCTTCAATCAATCAAAAAGTTTAGGATCAACAGACCTCTTCAAAATTGGAATTAAACAATCATAATCTTAGGGCAACGAAATAATAGATGAAAGCTTTGATCTTTGAGATGAGTATTACTTATGGTCTGAATCCGGCCATTGGATGTTTTTGAGATTGGTGATGAAGTTGATCTATTTTGGACCATTAGATCTGAAGGCAATAGACAAATAGGTGAATCTTTGGGGTTTGAGATTAATGTTTCTGATTAAATTCTTGGTATAACTATGACAGTTCTGTCACAAACAACACTACTACACAGGGGTATAATGATCATTTATCCAGAAACAGTTGCAAATCAACTGTTTTCCAAATACACAAACCAAACTGTCGGCCAACTTATCTGGATCGGCTGCTGATCATATGAGAATAAGCTGCTTATATGAATAAGTTGAATAAGCTGCAGCTGCCCCAAACATACCCTAAGAAGCAACAACTTCGAATGGGTGCGGTGACGAGGAAACTGTAGGAAATTTCTTCAAATTTCTTCCTCCTTCGTCTTCCTCTATTGATGGATAAGTTCTTTGACATCTCTTACGATCTCTCTATTGTCTCTCGCTTGTTCGTTCGATGGTTCAAATGAGAAGTGCGAACGAATAAATAATATGTTTCTTACGATGGGATGCGTCTTCTCTAACCGCCTGCATTTATTTATTATTATTATTTTTTTATTCTTTTATTTCAATTATTACAACCTGTGGAAAAAAGATTGTCTGTTTATGGGAATTAAGTAACGTTTGGGGAAATAGAGTACCGTTTGGGAAATGTTTGTTTGCGATCTAATATTTTGTGTAGGTGCTTTGAAGGAACGTTGTGTCTTTTAAGATCGTGGGTTAAACTTTCTGTTTTACTTTCCTGTCACAGTGTTTACGACACTGAAACAAGTGAGACTTTTGAGATGGTTGGGTTGACATTTTTCCGTGCCACTTAACAAGTGTTGGCGTCGTCAGATTGTCGGAATTTCAGGTGATTTGGATTTGCAAAATAATTTAAGATTTTAACTTTGCATACTTATAAAATGACTTTAAATTGAATTATATGGACTCCTTAATTTTCAAATAATCAAAATTGAAATCTTTAACTTGCAAGTAAATTAAAACTGCGACCTTTTGGAATTTTAATTAATTTAAATATTGACTTTTGGAGTTGTAATTAACTTAAAATTGAAATAATTGAACTTGTCAATTGACTTTTATGAAATATCATAAATTGAGTGGGGTTATGCTTGTAAGTTTAACTAAAATATAAAATATTATAAATGGGGATGTTAAATTTAAATTTAATATAAAATTCTTCAATTAGGGGTTGAGCTTGAATTAAATGTTAAATATCATAAATTGGGGCTAAATTTAAGACATGCATGTCATTTATAAATGTTAAAATAAAGATCCAATATATCAAATTCGCCACCGAATTCACAATACACTTGTTAGCGAACAAAAGATGATTCCTCTTAAAGCCCGAAGATGTAACATTGCATGCACTCCAATAAGGTACTATTTAAATAAAAGCTTATAGTTTCAAATGGCTATTAAAGCTTATACAGGCTTCATGGTTATTCCTAAGTTAAATGCAATGATTTGGAATATATTAAAATACTTCTAGACTTAGTTTATACTCTCTTGAATTGTGTATGTCTTAGAAGATATATATAGATGAGAATCATATACATGATTTTAATTTCTCTTGACTTAAATTGCATATCATAATTATAGATTAAATGTTGCACAAGTTTTCAAAGCCTTCAAATTCTTTCAGTTATTCAAATATATGAAATATAAATGCCCACACATGCTCCAACAAATGTATTGAATGCTTAAATAATATGTTTGAGAATGCTGCGTGACCTAATCGTGTCTTGTCTATAAGATAGGGTGTAAGTCCAACCCAACTAGTATGACCTTTCTCCTTGCAAGGATTATAATTGACGAGTCTAGTAATTTTGAAATATGTTTTCATATCATAAAAATAAAAATTTACATCATTTTTCTTGTAAGGAAATGAATCGGTAAAACTTATACTCTAATAAGATTAACCTAACCGAATTAAATGTCCCCTTCAAATATAAAAGTTTTAAAATGGTCAACTCCACAATAATGGTAGAGTAGATTGAAGATTTCAACTGGAGGGGTTTATTTTAAAATTATGCTTCAAAGTTTATTTTGAATTCAATTATCGAACCATATCCTCTATAAGCGGGACAAAGTTGATAGGGTTCAAAAATAGACTTTCCCCAATAATGATCGAGTTGATTGAAGATTTCAACCGGAGGGGTTTATTTTCAAAAATCAAATCAACCAAAATGTCTTAAAAATCAATCCTTAAAGACTTAAAACAAAAATTCATCCACTCTCCGCAACAATTTGTCGAGGATGATAAACTTTTGATTGACTTTAGCTCACAAAAAGTGAATGTCATATCAATTGCATTCCTATATTAGCAATCAAAGCAATCGCTTTCCAGTAAGGTCGTTGCCCTAGTTCTCTGTTCGTGAAATTTTACTGTCAAATAACACCACAAAATAACGATTATGACCCTCTGACCGGGTGTTTGTCGTCAAATGACATCATTATATCACAATCACTGGTGTAACCTATATGTTTCCTAATGTTTTTCTACCATTTGAGTTGTGAACCATAACGGTATAATTGATTGACATAAAATCTTTTTTTAGCTAAGATCGACTTAAAGTTTAATTCTATATGTTGAATATTCAATTCTTAATGGCTAAGTTTAATTAAAAGAGCTCTCCGGTTATCATGAGGGATAATTAATCACAGGGGTTTGCGCCTATGAGACACCTCGACTCCTAGATCAAAAAGTCTTCGCAAAATGAGGACAAAATCTCCAAGTAGTGTCTTATCTACGATCAAGCCTGCCTTCTAAAAATTTGACTCTCTAAAACTCTTTCTGAAATCAAAAATAAAAAATAAATGAGAGTCTTGTGGAGCAGTCGATATTTTCGGAGCCCACAAAACATTTAATTAGTAATGGTGCACCTGTGATTCTTGGGGGTTGGGGGTTGGCTTGTAGCTTTGTTGTGTGAGGGCAGAGGAGAGGAGCTCAATTTCAGTGGAGAAGGGACTTTGGCTAGTGGGAAGAGTCACGCGATTGAAGTGAGATCAGCAAAGGAAAGGATATTGCAGTTTGTGGGTTGTTGAACAAGCGTGAGGGATAGTTGGTTCTGTGGCTTGTGTGTAAGTACAAGGAGAGAGAGAATACTAGTGAATTGGTTTGGAATGTGGTTTGTTGGTTCACTGACAAAGTGGTTAGTGGCCATTTTGGTGGGTCAAGCAAGGAAGGCGAGCTTCTATATTGGACTGGGGAGTTTCAGCTTGAGAAGCTAAGGTTGAGGGAGACAGAGTGCGGGTTGGGTAGCTGAGAGAGGCCGGAATTGGCTCCAAGTTCACCAATGGAAGGTTCCCTGGCTCCTGGAGCATGTCGACCAATTGGCAGAGCGAGGACTTGCAAGTTGCATGAGTTGTGCGTGAGGGAGAAGGAAGATATGAAGAGGAGGTATGAGACACAATTGGAGAATGATTTGATGTGTAAGCATTTCTAGTGCATCCTTTTCGTTGCAAGTGTCAAATAATTTGTTGTGTGTGCATCACTAGAATTGAGAATGATATTTCAAAGATAAAATAAAAGAGAGTAAAGACACCTAAATTGACACCATGACTAATGATGTGATTAATCTTCAACCAATTCCATGGAGAAAAGAGAGTCGATCCAATCCATTGAATTATTAAAGTCACATATGCGGTATATTAAAAAGTGTTTCGTCGATTATTACCAAATCACAAGTTCACTCACACTATATAAGGTCTCAAAATAAGATTTCCTCATATCAAGTAGCAACAATCTCTTGTGGCAAATCTAGGGAATTATTACTTTCCTCTCAAAAGCCACACATCATCAAGGTAGGAGATATTTTTTTACATGCTCTCCAAGAAAACTTGTTGAGTGTTATATGTAATAAGAGGTTTTATTGGGTTTATTTGTTAGCCCTTATTTATATTTTGGCTTATTTTCTTTCAATTTGACATAATGCCAAAGCCTAGCCGTCTCTGCCTTTTTTTTCTTCTACCCGCATCCTTTCTTATCTACCTGCCTCGCGTGCGGGAGGCACTCCAGCGACGCGATATGTCTCGCATCCTATGCGGGAGACGCTCCCGACACTCCAGGTAGTGGCACGTCTACAGTAACAACGCAACGCTTCCCGCGTCCCGTTCGGGAGATGCACCCGATGCTCCAGGCAACGACGCGTCCCGCGTCCCGTGCGGGAGACGCACCAGACGCTCCCGGCCGAGACCCTCCACCGTCGTTTGTCTAGCCCGCCTCTGCCATCTGTCCAGGCTGTCATCGCAACCTCCTTCTCAGACCGCGGCCGCAGCACCTTTTGCAGTCTGGCAGCCACACGAAGAGATTCTATCCATCTATTGAGAGGGGCCCGTGTGTGTGGGGAGGTAGGGATACCCCACGAATCCTGAGGAGGGGAATGATATGAAGTGGATTCCGATCTTGATAATGAGATAGATTAATATCAGGCCTAAAGGAGGAAGGTAATTATCTATTGTGTGTATGACCTAGCATGGAGTTCCTAGCAGGGAGTTCAGGTGATTGAAGATGGCGTGAGATGGAGATAATGTAGGAGTAAAGGATTAGATCTTCTGGGAAGGATTGATCATGAGGTCCTAAAGGTCTTGGTAGGGCTCATATTGGGAGCTAGTACCTTGACAGAAATCACGACTACAACACATGCTTCGATGCAGCTGAAGCTAGATCTCCCTTTCGTGGATCTGAAGTTTGATGAACTGGTCACTTATCTCAGTTGGTCACTTCGGATTGAGACGACTTTAATAGGGAATAGACTAGAGTGATATCTGATCAAGGACGAACCAAAGAGTGATAGTACTGAGAGACCACTCACGCCTTAGTTTTAACCTGGCTGCTCAACTCAATGGTTTCGTAAATTGCATTATCAGTCGACGACATTTGAAAGGCGAGGAACATCGGGGCAAAGTTGAATAAAATTTATGCAGGGATTGAGAACTATATAAGAGTATTCAAGATTCAACAAGAAATAGAAGTTGTGGTACATGACGAGAAATCAATTTAGGAATACTCCATAGATTCGGAGAGGCTGTGGACATATCTTGATTCCTCCTCACCGATGTCAAGTTGTAGTGATCTAGAGTGCAAGAAGGAAGAGATCTTTATGCATATGAAGACTATACAATTTATGGCTCATCTGAATTTGGTCTTTGATCAGAGAAGATCTGTCCTCCTAGCTCAGGTCACTATTCCTATACTATATAAGGCCATTGCTGCGATGATATAGGAGAATCACATGAAGCTAAACTCGGAGTCGAGTAGTTTTTCGGGTGCACAATCAGCATTGGCTGTTGCAAGCCCGTGCACACTAGGTTTTCAGGGGGAGACTCGCAAGTACTACAATGGTGGCGAAGTTTGTCATCTGAGCAGGGCCTATCCTAAACCATCCAAGGAAAGAGAGGCAAGCAGACATGGACAAGGTGAATGTTGTGGTCATCCTAAACCATCCAAGGAAAGAGAGGCAAGCAGACGTGGACAAGGTGAATGTTTGGTCGTGGTCGTGGTCGTGGGGGTCGGAAAGGTGGAAGAAGGGGCTATCGGACAAATTTGATGGTAGCAGAGAACGATGGAGAGACACGTGTGACTTTAATAATAAGGATCATGAGTGTCTAGAGCTGTTGAATAAGAAGCAGAAAATAGCTGGAGATGGAGCTAAGGATGTTTCAAATCTATCGATATCAAGGGGTAACATTACCGTTTATGCTTGCTTCAGTAAAGATATTGGTGATATACTTGCTCTTGCTTCTATTTCCACCACAATGTCATCAGAATGTATCATAAATTTTGGTGTTTCTCATCAAATGACATGTATTGCTGGAGAGTTATCTTCGTATACTCATCTAGCAGTACTAGAGAGTAGAGGCTGTTGATGGTACAACACAACATATAATTGGTAATGATACAATGAAATGTACCTATCATATGACTTTGTCAAATGTTTTGCGTGCTCATTCTTTTCTAGTAAATTTCTTATTCATTAGTGTCATTATTCTTCAACTAAATTGTTCTATTTCCACCACTTGATCATCAGAATAGATCATAAATTTTGGTGTTTCTCATCACTTGACATGTATTGCTGGAGAGTTATCTTCATATACTCATCTAACAGTACTAGAGAGTATACAGACTGCTGATGGTACAACACAACATGTAGTTGGTAATGATACAGTAAGATGTACCTATAATATGACTTTGTCCAATGCTTTGCGTGCTCATTTTTTCTAGTAACCCCTTATTCATTAGTGTCATTATTATTGAATTAAATTGCATTGTTTCTTTTGATATTCCTTCGGTGATCTTCCAAGAGAAAGGGAAGGGTTGGACACTTGGGACTAGAACATGGCACAGATGACTCTAGTACTTGGATCGAGAGGGCATGTATTCAGCTTTGACATCTATGGTGGAAAGTGCTATAGTAAGAAAATTTGAAAGGAATGTTGAGGATGTGTTACTGTTACATTACAAGAGTATGAAACATTCTATTCTTAGTTTACGGAGTTGGTTGTATCCATCGATGTATGAAAAGATAAATAAGTAGAAACTAGTTTGTGATGCTTGTGAGTTTAGCAAGCTCATTATGAGCTGTTATGTCAGTTCTGGGAATAGGAACTCTAGTGTATTTAATTGGATACATTTTGATGCTTGAGAATCTTGTCCTACTTGTTCTATGAATGTTTTTCGTTATTTTGACGTTTATTGATTGTTGTTCTTGTTTTATCTGGATATATTTGATGAAATAGAAGATTGAGGTGATTGCTTGTTTTAAAGATTTCCATTAGGCAATCTAGTCCCAATATGCGACAGTTGTGAAGACACTAAGATCTGATAATGAGACAACATATATCAACAAAACATTTGAGGAATACCTGTCAGCTCAAAAGATACAACACCAAACCACATGCCCATACACACCAGCACATAATGGAGTGACTGATAAGAAGAATCGACATCTTCTATAGGTAGCAAGGAGCATGATGATGACAATGAATGTCCCATAACATTTATGGAGGCAAGTAGTGTTGACAGTCTTTCAATTGATTAAAATGATACCCTCAAGAGTATTGGAGTGGAAGTCTCCTTGTCAGATGTTGAGAGATCCTTCTATTGAAGGTATTTGGATGTATATGCTTTGTGAAAGACAATATGTCATCTATAGGAAAATTGAATTTCATAACTATGAAATGTATGAAATGTGTGTCCGTGGGTTATTCTGTTACTCAGAAGGATTATGTATGTTAGATATCAATTAAGTAGCGATTTTTTGTGAGTATGGATGTGTCATTCAAAGAGTTTAAACAATATTATACTTTGGAGTAGTGTTGATGGAGTGGTGCAAGCTAAAATAATGTCATGTCCTGTGATGTGGGGATGAATCAATTGAGGAGATGAAAATTGAGGAGATTGACCCATGAGGTGGTGGGATTCAGGATGAAGGTGAGTTAAGGGTGTATACATGGAGGAAGAAGTAAACTGAGGGAACAGAGCCTACGGTGCTAATAAGTCCCTTGCACTGATCTTCCCTAACTCTTGAGACCCTACACCATCCACATTTGATTCAAAACTCCCATGCGATATTATTCCTCCTTCGTCCACACTTACTCTCCCAATGTTAAGGAGGACCTCCCGCAACAATATGGGACATTCTTCTAATCGTTTTGAGTGGACATTTAACATTACAAACTTTATTTCTTATTCTAACATCTCACCTTTGCATAGAGCATTCATTGCATTATTGGATTCTATCTTTATACCCAAGTGTTGGCATGTTGCTAAAAATGTCCCCAAGTGGAAAGCGACAATGCATGAAATTGTACCACGAACAACAGAAAAGACAGTTTGATGCAAGTGGATCTTCGCGGTAAATCAAACTCCAGAAGGGAAGGTGGAGATGTACAAAGCACGATTAGTGTCAACAGGGTACAGTCAGACATATGACATTGACTACGATGAAAAATTTACTCTAGCAGCAAAGATAAGCACAATGAGGGCGCTAACTTCTTTAGTTGTGAATGGTCGGTGGAGACTTCGCCAACTTGATATGAAGAATGTATTTTTTTTTTCATGGGGAGCTACTAGAGGATAGTTATGTATGCTAGAGACCAATTAAGAAGAGATTCTTTGTGAGTATAGACGTTTCATTCAGAGAGTTTGGATTATATTATACTTTGGAGGTGAATTCACCATTCAGTGACTCAAGAACCACTGAAGATGAGGTAAGAGAGAGTTAATAGTAGTGTTGATGGAGTGGTGCAAGCGGGAGTAATGTCTTGACCTGTGATGTGGGGATGAATTAATTGAGGGGACGAAAATTGAGGAGATTGACCCTTGATGTGTTGGGCTTTAGGATCAAGATGAGCTAAGTGTGTATACACGGAGGAAGAAGTAAACTGAGGGAACAGAGCCTACGGTGCTAATAAGTCCCTTGTCCCGGTCTTCCCCAACTCTTGAGACACTTACACCATCAACATTTGATTCAAAACTTCCATTTGATTTTTTTCTTCTTCCACACTTACTCTCCCAGCTTTAAGGAGGACCTTTCGCAGTAATGCGTGACATTCTCTCGTTTTGGGTGGGAATTTGACATTTTGAACTTTATTTCTTATTCTAACATCTCACATTTGCATAGAACATTCATTGCATAATTGGACTCTTTCTCTATACCCAAGTGTTGGCAGGTTGCTAAAGAAGATCCTAAGTGGAAAGTGATAATGCATGACATGTTTGGAGCTCTTGATAAAAACCGATCATGGGAGATTGTACCATGACCAACAAAAAAGAAAACTGTTGGATGCAAGTGGATCTTCGCGGTAAAGCAAACTCCATTAGGGAAGGTGGAGAGGTTCAAAGCACAGCTAGTGTCAAAAGGGTACAGTTAGACATGATATTGACTACGATGTAACATTTACACCCGTAGTAAAGATGAGCACAGTGACGACGCAAACTTCTCTAGCTATGAATGGTGGGTGGAGACTCCATCACATGATATGAAGAATGTTTTTTTTTCAAGGGGAGCTACTAGAAGAGGTTTATATGGAGATACCGCTAGGATTCAATACATCCTAGACTGTGGGCAAGGTGTGTAGGCTTTTGAAGTCACTGCATTACTTAAAACAATCTCCTCGAGCCTGATTTGACAAATTTAGAATAGCGATGGTTGACATGGAATATCAGCAGATTAATACAGACCACACGGTGTACTTTCGGCAACATTAAGGTCGCACTACCATATTTACTGTGTATGTGGATGACATAATTATCGCTAGTGATCATGAGACAGAGATTACTAAATTGAAGGAAAGATTGGGGAAGCAATTTGAGGTAAAGGATGTGAGACATCTCAGGTACTTTTTTGGGATTGTAGTGGCCATGGAGCTGATGAAATGATCCTACCCCAGAGAAAATATGTACAAGACCTTCTCACAGAGACATGTATGCGGGAGTGTGATTCACATGTTTTTAGTGTATATTTTATGATAATTTTATGCATATTTTTTAGTGATATTACAATTTAAAGAAATATATTTTTACATGTTTTTGGTTTCAGGTATATAGAATAAACATTTGGAGAAAATGAGAGAAAAATGAGCAAAAATGGTACAAAATTGTATGGCGTCATAGCGCCGCCCCCTGGAGCTATAGCACCACAGATGCGAGCAAAATGCGCTATACCGCCAGTAACTTCTCTTCTAGAAGATCCATTGAATTTTGCGAATTTCGAAGGGGCGTTTGAAGCAACCTTTGGTTATTTTTAGAGATCTATTAATATCAACAAAAATTGGACGAAAAAGAGGACTTTTTGGCAGCATTTAAAGGCTTTAAGAAGTCCTTTTGTATTTTAAGTGTTGTTTTATTGTGTTTTGTGTTGTAAGAGTAAGGGTTTGGAGATTTCTTCAAGGAGACTTCAAAATTTGTGTTAGGGAGAGGACATAAGATCATTTGTATTTGTGTTTAAGTTTTTATTTCTAAGACTTGAATTTCAAGACAGATTTAGTGTTTTTGTTTTATTCTCCATAAATTCTGAGTAGTTCCCTTTCTTTCTCCTTGCTCTTAGGATTTAATCTTGTGGGATGAAAATGATTTTTTTTTTAGACTTTTAAAAATTGTGATGACATTTTCTCCAATTCTTTATTGACTCTACAAATTTATCACTTTTGAGGTTAAAATTCGTTGAGAAACATAAAGACTCAGGAGAGCTATTATTTCACCAAACTAGTGAGTGTCACACTTCATTCTGGGCAGAGCCGTTGCGATCACCTAAAAGGGAGTGCAAATAGATAGGGAGATAAGTTTTGATGGGCTTAGAATTGATGTTTTCAGGGTGAGCAGACTGGATTCTTTTTCAAATTCTGTTTAGAGTTTGGATCGTAAGGGTCCCTAGTAGGTCCTATAAAGATGACACAGTGGGTAATCTAGAAATGAGAGGTCGGAATCTGTTCAACACTACTACACAAGCTAATGAAAAATTCTAAATTAGTCAATTTTCTTTGTTAGCACCAGGAGGGAGTAAAAAATAGGAATACTCATATTTGTCACAATACATCATCATATTTTTAGTCATTCAAATCCTACATAGATTAATATTTGATTGCAAGGGAAAATATCTTTACATATTATTCAAACTCGTTAAAATTATTTTTATTAAACTGTTAAATATAGTTGTTTTTGTCTGCTTTAATTTAGTCTTAATCGTTGCTATCATTTCATTTTCATTCAAATATGCACTTTAAATAGAATTTGCTTTTGAGTTTAGCAAACCAATTTAAATAGTTCAACTATCCTTGTGGGATCGATACTGAGATTTTTAAAGAAAGCATATATTACTTGGAACGATACGTATACTTGCGTTGTACATCTAGTGTGAATATTTATTATTTATTTTCTATATCATTTAATTTATTCACACTAGCCGCTGCATATAATTTGGGTCAAGTTTTTTACAATATTTTGGAGATTAAAAATGCACGTAATTGCGAGTCGGGTCAGAGAGCAAACTTACAGTTTCTCCAATTGATCTGAAGGTCAAGCTTAGTACAGAGGCAAGTGAATCAGTTGATCGTGAGAGATTGGGCCGCCTGATCTATCTGTGTCACACTTGACTTGATATTTCTTTTTTCATGAGTGTGGTGAGTCGCTACATGCATGATTCAAGGAATGGTCATATGAGATCAAGTGTATCAGATTCTAAGGTATTTGAAGAGTGCATCAATGAAAGGGTTGATATTCAGGAAGAAATGACATATAAATACAGAGGGCTTTTGTGATTCTGACTGGGCAAGTTGTGCTGATGACAGACGATCCACATCCGAATATTGCAAGTTTGTAGGTGGCAACTTCGTGTCATGGAAGAGTAAGAAACAATCAGTTGTAGCAAGATCAACAACAGAGATATTATAAAGGGTCAGGACATTAGGAGTAGCTGAGATGATGTGGTTGAAAGCCTTGTTAGTTGAACTCAAAGTTGATAAGGGAACTCAAATGAAGTTTCGTGACAACAAGTCAGAAATAACATTGCTAACAACTCAGTGCAACACGATAGAACTAAACTTGTGGAGATTGATAGATTCTTCATCAAGGAGAAGTTGAATAACGGATTGTTGGTGGCTGACTGCCTCAAAGAACTTAACTTAGTGGAGTTGGCTAGATTATGTGATAAGATGGGCTTAGTGAATATCTTTCGCCCATCTTGATTGGGAGCGTTGAGAGTTATGTATAATAAGAGAGTTTTATTGTGTTTATTTGTTAATCATTGTAACCACTATTTAACAATTAAAGTTAACCAAAACTGTATGTTTTTCTCTGAAAGTCATAGCCAAGAGTGTTACTCTCTAAACTTGGCTTTAGAACCCTAGAATATGAATCTATCTCTCTCTCTCTCTCTCTATCTCGGTGTTGATTTGGTTTAGTTGATCTTTCATTTGATAATTAGGGCTATTCTAGGGGATCTCTCTTTAATATTGAGTTGTGAGCAAATGCTAACTAAATTTCTTAAATTGTGTTGTTCTTTTCGTTTTAGGATGGGAAAAAGCTGAGTCTGAGGCTTTGGCTCTGAAACGGCAACTTGAATCTGTCACATTGCTGAAGCTTACCTCTGAGGAAAGAGCACTGCATCTTGATAGCGCTTTAAAGGAATGCATGATACAGGCAAGGAATGTGAAGGAAGAAAGCGAACAAAGATTACATGATGTGATCTTTACAAGGACAAAACAGTGGGAAAAGGTCAAGGCTGAGCTTGAATCGAGAATCAGTGTTTTTGATCAAGAGCTACTAAAGGCCTCTGCTGAAAATTCAGTTCTTTCAAGAGCACTTCAAGAACGATCCAATTTGCTAAAGAAAGTTAGCGAAGAAAAATCTCAAGCTGATGCTGAGATTGAAGTACTGAAAGATGATTTACAATCCTGTGAGAGAGAAATAAGTTCATTGAAATATGAACTTCATGTTATTTCCAAAGAGCTGGAGATTCGCAATGAAGAAAAGAACATGAGTATGAGATCCGCAGAAGTTGCAAACAAACAGCACCAGGAAGATGTAAAAAAGATTACAAAGCTAGACGCTGAATGTCAGCGGCTACGTGGTCTTGTTCGAAAGAAGCTGCCTGGACCCGCTGCATTAGCTCAAATGAAACAAGAAGTTGAAAATGTAGGCCTGGAATCTAGGGCAAGCAGACTGCGGAAGTCTTCTTCAAAGTGTTCTAGTCCACATCAAATGTTGCCTTCTGACTTCGCCCTTGAAAACAATCAGCAGGTTCACATGGAAAATGAGCTCCTTTCTGCAAGATTGTTGGTTATGGAGGAAGAGATGAAGTTACTTCAGGAAGCATTATCAAAGTGCAACGATGAACTTAAAACTTCAAAAGATAATTGTGCTAAACAACCAAATAAGCCTCGCCTGGTTCTAACCCAACAAAAGAATTCTTCAATACCAAACATTGATTTCTGCTTTGGAAATGAAAGTAAACCACCGAGCTTGACCTCTTTGTCTGAAGATGGCTTTAGAGAAGAAGTTAGTTCTTCCAAGTCGTGTCCTACGGCACTATATTCTGAGATCTCACACTCTAAGAAAGAGAGAGACTATGACACAGTTAACAAACCTGAGAACTCAAATTATTTGGAGCTTATGGATGACTTTTTAGAGATGGAGAGATTAGCATGCTTATCAATAGAGACAAATGGCAACATGGACATGTCTATCCATTTGGAAACTGATAAACTGAGTCCAACTTTCTCGAGTCATTCTGAGAATAATGGGTATTCTAATATTCAGAAATGTGCAGTTTCCGAATTATCAGATTTGACTGCAGAACATGCTTCTACTGAAAATGATTGTTTGCTTTTGGTCCTTAAATCAAGAATAATTTCCCTATTTGAGTCTCAAGCACACGACACTACTGCCAAAAAAATTATTGAGGATATAAGGCATATTATTCAGGATGCTCAGGAAGATAAGTTCAAAGAGCAAACTGAATCGATTGATGGCTTGGCTGAGCAAAAGCATGGTCATAAAGACCTTCAGGAAATAACTGATGATGGGAAGTATTTGAATCAAGATAGTAATCTCTGCACTAAAATAGCTTGTTCTTCTGATCAGGAACTAAAAGATGTCATTTTCCATATATATGAATTTGTTCTAACGCTGGTTAAAGGTGATGCAGAAATTCAAGATAGTTCTAATGATTTGTTAAATGTAGGAGACAAAATTGAAAGATTTTTAGCGTCTATAGACAGTTTCAAGCGTAATGAAGTAAGTTTAGATGATTTCATTCGATCCCTTTCTCGTATATTGCATGAAATCATTGATCTCGGTAATAAAATGCGGACAGTAAAAGGCAGTGAAGGTGAGGGTTATGGTTCTGATTGCATTGACAAAGAGGCTTTGTTAGAGAATAAAGCAGCTCAGCATGAAGAAAGTTTACCAGAAGCAGTAGTTGCTCACACTTCCTTTAGTTCAGAATTTGACAGCTTTCAAATAAAAACCGCTTTACCGATGTTGTCTCTTGAGAATTTTGATCATCTAAAAGTTGAGAAAGTGAAAGTGGAGATGGATTTAGTTAGATGCAAAGAAATGCTGAGTCAATCAAATTTTACTTTAGTAGATACTGAAAAACAAGTATTAGAGCTTAAATCAGAGCTGGCTTCTTGTCAGAAGTCAAACAGCTTGGTTGCAATTCAGTTGAAATGTATGGCCGAGTCATATAAGATACTTGAATCACAGAAGGAGGAATTTGAGGTTGAAATAAGCCGTTTGCATGCGATGGTTGAAGCCTTGGATAACGAGCTTCAAGAGGAAAGGCTTAGTCACCAAGAAGATTTGGCCAAATACAATGAACTTCAAGAGCAGATAGACAGGTAGGCATCAAATCTTCTAATATGCTTTATAGCTTAATTAATATTATGATTTTTTTTTAGTGTCCATCGCTTTTTTTGAAATGTAATATTTCTTTGTATTGAGATCTATCTTTTTTTTTTTTTTTAATGAAGGAAATCAAAGTTTCCAGCTTGCACACTTCCTTCAAATTCTGATGGGACAAAGACCCAACAGGTATTTATAATGAGAACTTGAGTTTTGAGATTGATAAAGCAACTATCGTTCTTGTTATTTTATCATCTTATTTAGGCGGTGTTTGGTTGCAACTTGATTTACGTTAGTTGGATTCATCAAATCTGATAAATCCGGATTTATCTTTGACGGCAAAGTTTGCTGGCGACAACGGAATAAATCCAACTCGTAATCGTATTTAACTAATTCAGATTTACGTCAGAAAAAACAGACAGTACGCAAGAAGATTCGATTTAACGAAGCATTGGATTTAATGTACAAATTTTTGGTGTTTGGCTGGATTTAAGCTAAATCTATCCCTAAATCCTATTAATAGTATGCTACCAAATGTCGTTTTATTGTGCTCATTTTAACATACCTCCTTTTCTATAGCTCCTTTTCTACTTGCTATCGTTGTAATCCTCCGGACGAGTCATGCCTGCCCGTTTTTCTATTAAATTTGTGGTCTGCACATGCATCCCATTGCAAATTCGAGGCTGCTCATTTTGACAAAATAACAACAAAATGATGTTGGAAACATTATTTATTTCCATATTTTTTTCATTATAGGAAATAGATATTGCGGCAGCTGCAGATAAGCTCGCTGAATGCCAGGAGACAATTTTTCTTCTTGGCAAGCAACTTCAAGCAATGCGTGATCCTGCAGAACTACTGCATGCTTGTCCAAGGCGCAGAATACAACGGGACGATCTTTCATTAGAAGAATCGGATGGAGGTAACTCGAACTCTCCGGCGATCTTTGGTACTAGGCTTTCAGATCGAGGAGACCAAACAGCACAAAGAGCAGGTGAGTCCCCATTACATGGATGCAACTCCCACACGAGCCCATCGGACTCTGAATCAAGCCCCTTCAGTAAATCACCTGTAAATACAAATTACCATAAACAAAAAACCCTCGGGTCATCGTCTTCCTCGTCTTCATTTAATTCTGTGTCCGAGAGACATAGGCATGGATTTGCCAGGTTCTTCTCCAAAGGTAACATGGATAAGTAAGGCATACGAAATATTTTTTTTTTCCAGCGATAACACGCTTATACTGGAATTTCTGAATCAAAATCTTCAGAATCACAAGCTGCATTTGAATTACAGAAACTTTTGCCTTGAAGAAATGTTTACCATATCCTGCACTGTGAATGTTCTTGTATGTTTGCATGTTGCAGGATTCCTTTTATTGTGAGTTTTGCCACATGATAGAGAATGCATGATAGCTACCATTTTGTTTTGACGTTTTCGGTTTTACTGTACAGTTTTATTTGGCATTTATTGTCCATTATTAAGGTTTTTTTTTCATTTTTCTTAATTTTTTTTACAAGTTTGTCTGTTTAAGAGATGGGTGTTCTAGAAAAAATTCTTGAATTACTTATATTTAAGGCTAGTGCAGATGTTTTTGAAGATGCTGGACTCTTGATTTGTTGATGTAATCAGATTTTCTTCTGGCAATCATAAGTGTAGGATAGAGGAGAGGAAATAAAGAAATATCAAGTTTTATTGTGAGGAAGAAGGTATAAATTGATTTTGTTTATTCATTCCTAGGGATTGGTTTTCAATTGGCACAAACTTTAAAATTTTATTATGTTGTGGACTTTAAAAATTCGTGTCTCGGACTCTTGTTCAGAGTTTGGTATTGTTCGGAACGACAGGCAAGGGTGTGGGTGTTATGGTAAGTATTAAAATCTATTGATAGTAAATTAGGAAGTGTGTGGATTACGGAGATTGATATTAGGTACTATAATTTGGGGAGATTTTTCTATATTGTGAGAATTAATTTGAGGGGATCTAAATATATGTGGAGAATGGAAAAAAAATCAGGGAGGCACATCACATGCGGAGAATATATATATTGTATTCCACTCGAGCCTTTCCACACTTTTAGAGCACTTTAGGATGCCCTTCTCCTCTCTTTTTCACAAGTGAATTCAAAATCCAACCCACTTACAATCCGCGAAACCAGAAACTTCCAAGTAAAAATGGCGATGGCATGATAATTGTGCTGTGACACTCTAATGCGAGCTAAGGTGTTGTATTTAGGGTGCTGTCGTGTTACGCTCTCTCGGGTTCTAAACCTCGGTTGGAAGAGGTGGTTCTGTCTTTCAGGCGATGAGATCCTGCTCGGCGCTTGGCCTCTGCGTATAGAAAAAAATTTGGGGGCAGCACACGCAACCCAATAGCGGGGACACCCGAAGCCAACAATAATAACATTTGTGCCAGCCAAAAACCAAACCTCATCCATAATTCTGCACAAACGTCTTACGCGACTGCTGGTCCCAAACCATTACCAGCCTCAAGTTCTGCTATCTCTGTTGGTCCTGTGAGAGGCCATGGCATAAACTGCTCCTAACTCTTAAGCCTGCATATCTAAGCTTTTCATTTCCAGTTGGATCTTAATCTCACTTTGTTTGGGCCGGCTTTTACATACACAACACAACTATTACGTATTTACATATCTAACCCCCTAAACATCTTTACTCAAATCTTTTAACATCACAAAAAAATATATATATATATATATATATATCATCATTATCCTTTTAAAAGTGAACTACATAATTTTATAAATAAGTATGACATCAAGGTGTTCTAAATATAAATATCAAAACTTCAAGTGTTAGATATGTAAAAACATAAAAATTTACTGGCATGTATGTAAAATAAAGAAAGCCCAAAAGTTGCTTATTTCTATTAATGCTCTTAAATACGGTATATTTTGAAATTTATGTTATCATGCTGAATTTCCACTCCCTCTTTGATACTATCGGCATTAAAAGTTCGCTATTTTTCTCTATCATACTTTCCGATCTTCACCATCCATCACATCAAAGATGTATGACGTTAGGTCTTATTTTGAATTTTTTTAAAAAAAAAAAATTTGTTATGATGGACATTAGAAATCAGACACCGTATGCATCTCTGTAATTATTTTCATAGGGAAATTTAGGTACATATCACACAATTCATATATATTTACCTATCCAAAACCCAAAGCTTGATATTTATACTTCTATATAGCACATTCATGTCATAAATGTATGCATGATAGGATATACTTGACTTTTAAAAAAGATAGTATTGTTATTTTTAATGTGATGTTAACTTTGAGTGACATGCACATAATATTAATGTTTAGATGTTAGATATGTAAAAATATAAATACATAAAAATGGTGTGGTATTTTTATAAATGCCCTTTTTATCTTTTAAAACTGAGGGCTTATCAGTAGGCTCCATCTTCAGTTTTTTAATGCCGATTTTTGTGATTTTTAGAAGGAGAGGAAGAAAGGTTGCAGAGCACAGAGAACTCTTGTGGTTGTTATTAAAGGGAGGCATTGAAATAAAAGGATTTCCACCTCCTCTCTTATACGCTTTCTGATATCCATTATTCATGTATTTCAGTGTGTCTCATTTTTTTTATTTTTTTTAAATTTTGATGGACGGTGAAGATCGGACGGCGTATGCATTTCTCCATACGTTGTCCGTATGAAATAATTTTCCTTTCAACTTAAATACTACATTGGCTCGGTGGCCATTTAAACCTGATATTTGTTATATTTATAAATAAGTTATTTTAACATTTTATTATTAGCTTATCATAAATTTTGTAATAAATTCCTTCTTCATATTTGTATTTTCTGAAAATTAAAATTATGTAGAATTTAAGTCATTTGATTTTTTAAGCTGATCATAAGTAAAATTACATCAACATAATCTGAGTTCTGACACTTTTTCCTTGTATTTGCTTGATACATAGTTTTTATTATTGCATAAGAAAATGATTTTTATTTTTCAATATATAATTAAATTGCTTGATAAGAGTAACTTATAATCCAGTTTTTTTAATTATTTAATTTGGGACTTTTGCTACCAAAAATGGTAATTTACATAATTAAGTAAAGGGAGGCATTGAAATAAAAGGATTTCCACCTCTCTTATACGCTTTCTGATCTCCATTGTTAATGTATTTCGGTGTGTCTCATTTTTTTTATTTTTTTTAAATTTTGATGGACGGTGAAGATCGGACGGCGTATGCATTTCTCCATACGTTGTCCGTATGAAATAATTTTCCTTTCAACTTAAATACTACATTGGCTCGGTGGCCATTTAAACCTGATATTTGTTATATTTATAAATAAGTTATTTTAACATTTTATTATTAGCTTATCATAAATTTTGTAATAAATTCCTTCTTCATATTTGTATTTTCTGAAAATTAAAATTATGTAGAATTTAAGTCATTTGATTTTTTAAGCTGATCATAAGTAAAATTACATCAACATAATCTGAGTTCTGACACTTTTTCCTTGTATTTGCTTGATACATAGTTTTTATTATTGCATAAGAAAATGATTTTTATTTTTCAATATATAATTAAATTGCTTGATAAGAGTAAATTATAATCCAGTTTTTTTAATTATTTAATTTGGAACTTTTGCTACCAAAATGGTAATTTACATGCATTAAAAGAAAGATGCATTTGCATAAACACCACACAATTTTTATGTATTTATATATGTAATACAAAAGTATAGATAATCACATCACCTAAATCCTTAACATCACATCAAAAATATCATCATCATTACAATTTTGAAGTGAAATATATGTTTTCATGCATATGTAACAACATATGACACCAAAAGATTATAAGTGCAAATATCAAACTTTGGGTGTGCAGCACTTAAATATATGAAATTTGTGTGGTATGAATGTAAAATATCAAAAAAAAAAAAAAAAAAAAAAAAAAAAACACAAGTGCCCTAAAAAATTAGATGGATCCGGATTTCTCCGCTGATTTTCACGCATTGAACTTTTAAAAGGTTCAACTTTATTGAGTTCCATCATTCAGTTTACGGCTACGGTCAGTGGGCAGAGAGAGAAAGAAGAGAGTTTTACTGAATCAGAGTAATCAATCTTCGTCTTCCTTGTCATGATTCAACTCTTACAAGTTACAGGGCCGCGCCAACGCACGCCGCTCGCCATTTACAAATTAACCCAAAGTAAAATCTCATCCAACTAAGAAATCAGAATCTCTAACAAATTAACACCAACAGAAACAGATATAGAGAGGAAAGCAGAGGAGATGGAGGAGAAAGAACATCAAAAACAAAACAGAGCGTTACTCCGACTTCTCTCCCTCTCTCTCTCCTCTCTTCCCCAACTAAGAAAACCACCATTCATCTGAGCTCAGAAGTCAGAGCGCAAAAGACAACCTCCTCGCACGGAATAGTGAGTCCCATTCCATGTTCGAAACCAAACTCTTCCTCTGCAAGCTGCAACAGACTTCGAAACTCACGGTTTTCCAAAAGCGAAATGGGAACGATGAAGCGGCGTCGCTTCTCCCCAACATACACAGCAAAATGCCCTTTTGGCACATCAACTGGAAGCTCGGCGCCATTGTTCTCCTTCCTCCCCAAACTCGAACATCTCTTCAGTATCTGCCTCAGCGCCGCCGCCGGAGGGATCTTGTTCGACCTTCCAAGAGCCATCTCTTACTCCACAAGGAAAGGGGCGAGATTGGGGAGAGTGGGAACAGAGAGCAAAAGAGAGGGCTTTTCGGTTGGTTGGGGAAGGAAGGCGAGGTGATGGAGTTTGTGGGTGGGTTTGGAGGGTTGTTTATAGGTGGAGAGGGGAAGCAGAGGCATGTGGTATGTTGAGAGAAGAGGGGGGAGGGGCAAAAGCAACGGCGCATGGAAGCGGGTTTGGGTGGGAAAAGCGATGCTGGGTTACGCTTAAATTAGCAATAGGATGTTGGCTTCGTTTAGGAAATTCATGGCCTTCTTTCCCATGCTTGCTTTTCTGTGTCTGTTCTTCTCTACTTCTTTTTGCTTTTAGGGGTATTTAATTTGTATTTGGATAAGCATAATTTTGGTGGGTTGAAATGGGGTTTCGATAATTTTAGTGTAAAAGTGGGAAAGTAATATAAATAATTTTTTTTTTTTTCTTATTTGGGGCATTTATATGAATACCACCCAATTGTTATATGTTTATATAACTAGCACTCAAGACTTTCTTTTATATTTATACCACTAAAATTTTTTATATCACATCTAAATTACTATTTTTTTAATTTTTTAAAAGTAGCATGTATATACTTTTCATCTATATATAAAATTGCATACTATTGGATGTGAACTGCGGGACCGGTCCAGCATCCCGAATTCAGCCAGGCAGACAGAACGCGCCCACGATCAAAAAAAGGCAAGGAGCAAAGGGGATGCACGAGGGTCTTAATCACATATTCAAGGAAGAGAAATTAAAGTAGTTTGGAGGGAAGGCTTCAAAGAAAGGTTTTGAATTACTGAGAGAGAATTTTATTAAAGGGAGTATCCCAGGGCTTGTTTTATTATGCATGTTTGTCGTTGATTGTTGTGTTCTTTCATTGGGTGGTGTTCCTAGCGACGTCTAGGGTCGCAGGAGAGCAGATCTATCTCTTGAAAAGTAGATCATCGTTGTATCTTATCTTTCTTATTTGTTTTCATAAAAGCAGCCATTATTTGTGTTTTTTCTACCTATCTATTGCGATTTAGTTGTGATTTGTTGATGAATTTGTTGTTCAGATGTATCAAATTGGTACTAGAGCAAAGATCTTAGTGGATTGCAGCAAAAAAAAGTTGATGTGCTAAAAGATGTGGAGAAAATTCGATCTGGAATAAAAGAAAGGTTTGTTACCATTGAGGACATATTTTCTTCTTGAAAGTCAAATGAATGATGGATTTGAAAACATGCGGGAAATGTGGGAGATGATGAAAAAGCTCATGGAGATGCAATCCAAGGCCATGTCGACCGCTCCTGCTGCAAAACTTAACCAAGGATTGGTTAGAGAATCATTGGTCATGTCAAAGAGGAAGGATATCGAGCGAGAAGACATCATCTACCTACAAGAGCGTAGTTCTAGGACTCCGATAGGAGGGGGAGTGGAGACTTCAGATGGAGGGGGATGAGCCGAAAATTGGAGAAGGGATAGTGGAAGGGGCACGAAAAAGTATGACGAAGGATGGCATGAATAGGGAGTAGGATGTGCCTATGATTGTGGGAGGGAGTTTCACCCTAGATACTTGGGGGGAAATTCCAGTGGGAGAGGAAGTTGGGTTGGAGATGCAAGGATTAGGAAAATAAAGATTCTAATTTTCTAAGGGGAGGATGCACATAGATGGGTGTATCAGGTGGAGTGATACTTTGTAATCAACGGGCTGAACGAAGAAGAGAAGTTCATGGCAACGGGATTATGCTTGGAGGGGAAGGCTTTAGTGTGGTTCCAGTGGATGGAAGCAAGGTATCTGATACACTTATGGGAGGAGTTTAATGATTGCTTGTTGGAACATTTCTGAGCCATTCAGAAAGGAGACGTGCATGAGAATTTTATGCTCTAACTTAGGAGGGAACGATTATGGAGTACCGAGAGAAGTCAAGCTTTTGTCAAGGAGGTTGAAGGTGATTTCTACAGCAGGTTTGGAAGGGAACTTCTTGAAAAGTTTGAAGCCTGACATACAAGCTATCATCTGCCCTTTGAGACCAAGTGGATTGAGGGAAATGGTGGAGCTCGCCCATATGATGGAATATAAGAAACAAGTGAAGAAGACGGGTAAAGATGGCAACAACGGATGATTCTACAAGAGCATCGTAAAATCCTCGCACCGTCTGACACCGAGGACCCAGACAATGTCATTTTAGAAAGAGACGCCGAAGGAGAAGAGTCCAGACCTCGACCCGGGGGTAATTCTAGCGCCTCATAAATGCAGAAGTGCAAGACAAAAAAACTAATGGATTGTGTTACCGCTGAGACGAGCAATACGCCCCAGGTCACCGTTGCAAGGAGCGAGCGCTTTAGGTTCTTTTAGTTCAGGAGGATGATACAGAGAGTGATGAATCAAAAGAGGAAGCAGCGGATGAGGAGCATTTGCATTTGGATGTGCTAGAGTTTTCCCTCAATTCAGCAATCACACCATGAATGTGAAGAGATGGATTGGGGAACATCCAATTATATTGTTGTTGGATGCGGAGCCACACATAACTTTATCTCAAATCAAGTTGTGGAGAAGCTAGGAATGAAGTTGGTGACCACAGGGAGCCAGTCAAGATGGGATTTACCTCGTTCATCATTGTAGCCATTCAAGATCTAACACATGATTATTTCTTAATAAAAGAACGACTATATTGCACAAACTGGTTAACCCGGTTCATCAGAATAAAGTGGCACATGGAGCTCAAATCATTAGGTTCAGAGCACCTGTATCTATTGTATATTTATATTGTTATCTTTCCTGACTTCAGCTTAAGTATGCCCAAATAAAAACTCCACTTAATTAAACTAGAACGAATTTAAGTTAGTGTCATTTATTACATTTATTACTACTACTAATCAATTTGTAAGATATGTATCCTGACAAAATATAAGATATTGAACTTTGTTAAAATAAATAAATAAAATAAATAAAATGTACATAACACATGAATCTTACTTTGAAGATCAACTAAAGACGCAAAATTATACATTCATAATATATAAGAATAAAGAAGATTTACTTGCATGCACACAATTTCTATGTATTTACATATTTACCATATAAACTTTAATTTTAAGTGTTAGATATATAAATACATAAGAATTGAGCGGTATGTATATAAATGCCTCTATGAAACCCTAAGAATAATTATGATTCAGATATCCACTAATTTAGAAGGATCACAATTCCTTAAATCACACAACTAGCATATAAATCAATTTTAGCACTTCATGAAAATCCTTTATAATAAGTGATTAATCTCGTGTTAATACTAGAGTCTGGAAGAACACCCACACAGCCGTAAGGAAGGGCCAAGTGAGCCGAGCAACAGAAATGCGCGGCGTGCCTACGTTAAAATTGGCATAGCAGCTACTTGTTTTCCTTTGCTTCTACATCGAACAAGCGAAAAAAATTTTGTCGGGCGAAGTCATGATTACGCCGAGGCGGTTTCTCAATTATGGAACTCAAATCCTTCGATTCGAAACGATGGTTCTTCATGTGTAATTTTACTTTTATTTTAGATTTTCTTTTTTTTTAATATTATTTTGTTATGTTTCTAATTTTATTTTATTTTATTTTTTCAAGCCTAATCAAAAGTAGGGGACAGTTTTCCGTTGGTGTCTCCTCCTTCTTTTCTCTTATTTTGTGCGGCCTGTGCTGCGGTTTCTTGTATGATTTATGGAACAATTGATTGGGACTACTCTCTCTAAATAAAAGATTTAAATTTTAAATAAATTCTAATTCCTCATTTTTTAATTAAATTATAATTATGGCTTGAAAAAAAAAGTGTATTTATATATCCCCACAAAATTTTAATGTATTTACCTATTTAAAACCTAAACATTAAATTTTATATTTATAATATGTAAATATTTCATACCACATCAAAAAATATTATTATTATTTAATTTAAATATAAGTAAAAATTAAACTTTTAGCTATTAGATTTGTAAATAGATCCATAAGGATTATGTGATATGTATGTTGTTATATCATGATAAGTGAGTGAGGAAAGTGAAGGAGGTACAATGCAGTACTGATGTGGTCCTGCGATTCCTGTGATACCTCTCCGTCTTTATCTATCTGTAAAGGGCCCTACGGTTGCTGTAAAGGCTGCACGGCCCATGTGCTACTTCATCCCACCGCTACTGATTTATTTTTTTTAATTTTTTTTTAATTGTAAATTGCACGAGAATTAAATATATGAGAGATTCAATTCAATATTGATTATTAATAGATTATTTTATATTATAATTCATCAAAAGCAAAGGTTAGATTCTATTATTGGCTTAAGTGTTGTATTAGTGGCTTTAATTGTAGTAGGGGGTAGATTAGTCATTTATATTTTTTAATTCATGTGCCCTAATTTTTTCTTATATTAATGGGAGATTATGGCTCCTTTTGAGTTATAATCCTTTTTTTTTTTTTACCATCTTTTCTTTTTCTCCATTGGTGATAGAGAAATTTCTCTTTTCCATTAGAGCTGTTAACATTCGACTTCAATTTGAGTTTGGGCGGCTTGAAATCAGCTCAAATAGATTTAGTGTAGCTGGAAATCGATTTGAGGCTTGTTATATTCAAATTTCAACCGGAGTCTGATTGTGATTGCCACGAGCGCGACCCGGCTCAAAATTGAAACTGATTGTTATGTTCAAATTTGAATCGAGTGCAGTCCGGCTCAAAATTGAAACGAGCTTGCTTAAGATGAGTTATTTGGATCTGTTTAAGCTGAGTATGAGCTCGATTTGGCTCAGAATTAAAATTAATTGGATCATATTGAGTTATTTGAATCTGTTCTAATTCAAAATGGGCTCAAAATTATCTCTTAATTCATTATAATCAATTTAACTTTCCATTGTGTTGAATGCTTTTTATGTAAAATCTCCTTTTTAAATTACAAGGCAATAAAAAGAATGGCAGAATTGAACTGTGCGGGTAGTCTGGTACCATCTGGCTCGTACCAACAGGCCCAACACTAAAAATATCAGTCAATTCATGCAAAAACTAAAATCATCAAACTGGTGACACGTGACATCTACTTTTTTGGCGATCAATTTTATATAATATATATTTTTTTAAATTATATAATATATAATTTATCTGGGTTAATTAGTTCATTAGGTCATCTTATGCTACAATAGGATTAATGAGTTGTCATCACTGATTGATCTAAGTTTCTTACAAAAATAATCGATAAATCGACTGTTAACTCTACAAATATTCTAATTTTCTATAAATTTCATTTTCCAGCAAATAAATCATCAAGTATTTTATAAATTAACTCTACTGATGCGTGCTAGAAAATTCGCGGCGGTAGA